ACTAAAAAGGGATTCCCAAAAGATTTTGGGTCGCACTGTAGGGCCCAGTGTCAGAAGCGGGTTTGCGTCCAAGATCCTGGTTTTCCCAGCAGGACAATGCCCAAACATACGTCAAAAAGCACTCAAAAATGGATGTGCAAAGAAGCGCTGGAGAGTTTCTGAAGTGGGCCAGCAATAGAAGCCCCAGATTCTAAATCCCTTTGAACACCTGTGGAGAGTATCTTAAAAATTTCTTTTGGGAAAAGGTGTCCCTTCCAATAAAGAGAGACCCTGTGAGCTGTTTGCAAAGCGGAAGAGTGTCCAAAATTCCGGGTGAGAGGTGTCAGAAGCTTATTGATGGTTATAGGAAGCGACTGAATTCAGTTATGTTTTCTCCAAAGGGTGTGCAACCAAATATTAAGTTAAGGAGTGCCAATACTTTTGTCCAGCCCATTTTTTTTGGGTTTTGTGTGACATTATGTCATATTTGCTTTTCTGCCTCTGTTTTATATTTGTTCCAATACATACAAAAGGGAATAAACATGTGTATAGCAAAACATGTGTTAATGCAATACCTTTTTTTGTGTGAAATACTTGATTTTCAGGAAAAAATATCAAGGGTGCCAACAATTTCGGCCATGACTGTATATACACACACACACACATATATACACACACTATATCTCTCTATCTAATATATCTATCTTATCTCTTTTACCCTCGAAAATAAAGAAAAAAAAAGATCCGCCTTTAGTTCCTAATTAATTACTACAAAACCAGAAACCAAAATTTTCTAAATCCTGCAGTCCTCAGTCTGCAACCAGATGCTGAGGAAGGGAGCTCCAGGGAAGGGGGCACAGCAGGCGGGACCACACACATCCTCACACCCCCAAGCGAGAGAACACACATCCTCACACACAAATCATCCGCACACCCCTAGGCGGGCACGCGTCATCACACCCCCCATCACACACTCCAGGCGGGCACATGTCATCACACCCCCATCACGTCATCACACCCCCAGGCGGGCACACGTCATCACACCCCCCAGGTTGGGCACACGTCATCACACCTCCCATCACACCCTCAGGTGGGCAACATGTCATCACACCCCCCCCATCACACGTCATCACACCCCCCATCATACCCCCAGGCGGGCACACATCACACCCCCCCATCTCACCCCCAGGCGGGCACACGTCATCACACCCCCAGGTGGGCACACATCATCACACCCCCCATCTCACCCCCAGGCGGGCACACGTCATCACACCCCCAGGTGGGCACACGTCATCACACCCCCCCATCACACGTCATCACACCCCCCATCACACCTCCAGGCGGGCACATGTCATCACACCCCCATCACGTCATCACACCCCCAGGCGGGCACACGTCATCACACCCCCAGGTGGGCACACGTCATCACACCTCCCATCACACCCTCAGGTGGGCACATGTCATCACACCCCCCATCACACGTCATCACACCCCCCATCATACCCCCAGGCGGGCACACATCACACCCCCCATCTCACCCCCAGGCGGGCACACGTCATTCATCACACCCCCAGGTGGGCACACATCATCACACCCCCCATCTCACCCCAGGCGGGCACACGTCATCACACCCCCAGGTGGGCACACGTCATCACACCCCCCATCACACCCCTCATCACACCCCCCAGGCGGGCACAACGTCTCACACCCCCGGGGGGGCACACGTCATCACACCCCCAGGCGGGCACATGTTCCTGGCATTGCCAACCCCTGCAAAGTACAATGATACACAGCCCGCCATGGCACAGCACCGTACCTGGATGCCTTGGTGAAGTCTCCCCAGGTGTCTGTGGAAGCTGCCGGCTCCGATGAGAATCCTCCAACGTCAAAGAGCAGCCCTGTTCCAGAAGAGGCACAGATCAGATTAGTGAGCGGGGGACATGACGGTGCAGATGAGGGTAAAAAGCAACACAGTGACTAGCCAGGCAGAACGCAGGAAAAACCTTTCTATGGAGACCATTGTTTACAGCACTTGTGAGAAATGTCTAATGGGAAGCACAAGGTCATCCTAATGTTCACAGACAGAGAGGTTCGTCTTAAAGGGGAACTCCAGAGTTCCCTGACACCCTTCTGAGCATGGGCACAAAATAAAAACACTGCTATCCAATGTCTGCGGGGCTCTGACAAACGTCTGCCAAATGTCTGACACCATGGAGCTCTGACAGTCGCCTGCGTGACACCATGGAGCTCTGACAGACGCCTGCACGACACCATGGAGCTCTGACAGACGCCTGCACGACACCATGGAGCTCTGACAGCCATCTACGTGACACCACGGAGCTCTGACAGACGCCTGTGCGACACCACGGAGCTCTGACAGACGCCTGCACGACACCATGGAGCTCTGACAGTCGCCTGCACGACACCATGGAGCTCTGACAGACGCCTGCGCGACACCATGGAGCTCTGACAGACGCCTGCACGACACCATGGAGCTCTGACAGACGCCTGCGCGACACCATGGAGCTCTGACAGATGCCTGCGTGACACCACGGAGCTCTGACAGACACCTGCACGACACCATGGAGCTCTGACAGACGCCCTGCACGACACCATGGAGCTCTGACAGCCATCTACGTGACACCACGGAGCTCTGACAGACGCCTGTGCGACACCACGGAGCTCTGACAGACGCCTGCACGACACCATGGAGCTCTGACAGTCGCCTGCACGACACCATGGAGCTCTGACAGACGCCTGCGCGACACCATGGAGCTCTGACAGACGCCTGCGCGACACCACGGAGCTCTGACAGTCGCCTGCGCGACACCACGGAGCTCTGACAGTCGCCTGCGCGACACCACGGAGCTCTGACAGTCGCGCCTGCGCGACACCACGGAGCTCTGACAGTCGCCTGCGCAACACCACGGAGCTCTGACAGTCGCTGCGCGACACCACGGAGCTCTGACAGACGTCTACGCGACACCACGGAGCTCTGACAGGTTACCTGCATTAGCAGCTGGCTGTGGAGTGCTGTGCTGAATGGGAGTCTTGGATCCTGGCGGTGGGGGGAGCAGGCTTGGTCCTGCGCTGAGTGGTCTCGGTTTAGCAGGGGGGGCGCCTTCCTTCTTCTTTATGTTCTATGGAAAGCAGAAGAAATCATTGAAAGTAAAACACACAGAAGTTCCGGGGCCACAGAGAGCAGCCTGGAGAAAGCCTCGGCATGGATCAGTATTTTATTGCTCGGAGCCCGAGGTCACACTGAGTGCGGCTGAGCCCGAGGTCACACTGAGTGCGGCTCGGAGCCCGAGGTCACACTGAATGCGGCTGAGCCCGAGGTCACACTGAGTGCGGCTCGGAGCCCGAGGTCACACTGAGAATGCGGCTGAGCCCGAGGTCACACTGAATGCGGCTCGGAGCCCGAGGTCACACTGAATGCAGCTGAGCCCGAGGTCACACTGAATGCGGCTCGGAGCCCGAGGTCGGAGCCCGAGGTCACACCGAATGCGGCTTGGAGGCCACACTGAATGCTGCTCTAGGAGGTCACACTGAGTGCGGCTGAGCCCGAGGTCACACTGAATGAGGTTCGGAGCCCGAGGTCACACCGAAATGCGGGTCTCACTCGGAGCCCGAGGTCACACCGAATGCGGCTTGGAGGCCGAGGTCACACTGAATGCGGCTGCTCTAAGCGCTCGAGCCCGAGGTCACACTGAGTGCGGCTGAGCCGAGGTCACACTGAATGCGGCTCCCTGAGGTCACACACTGAATGCGGCTCGGAGCCTGAGGTCACACTGAATGCGGCTCGGAGCCTGAGGTCACACTGAATGCGGCTCGGAGCCTGAGGTCACACATATGCGGCTGAGCCTGAGGTCACACTGAATGCGGCTCGGAGCCCGAGGTCACACTGAATGCGGCTCGGAGCCACTGAGGGCTCACACACTGAATGCGGCTCGGAGCCCGAGGTCACACTGAATGCGGCTCGGAGCCCGAGGTCACACCGAATGCGGCTCGGAGCCCGAGGTCACACTGAATGCGCTGAGCCTCGAGAGCCACTGAATGCTGCTCTAAGCCCGAGGTCACACTAAGTGCGGCTGAGACTGAGGTCACACCGAATGCGGCTCGGAGCCTGAGGTCACACCGAATGCGGCTCGGAGCCCGAGGGCTCACCCGACCGAATGCGGCTCGGAGCCCGAGGTCACACCGAATGCGGCTGCGGCTGCTGCTCTAGCCCGAGAGGTCAGCACACCGAATGCGGCTGAGCCCGAGGGTCAGCCGAATGCGGGCTCGAGGGTCACACTAGTCGAATGCGGCTGGAGCCCGAGGTCACACCACAATGCGGCTCGGAGCCCGAGGTCACACCGAATGCGGCTCGGAGCTCACACCGAATGCGGCTCGCCCGAGGTCACACCGAATGGGCTCGGAGCCCGAGGTCACACCGAATGCGGCTCGGAGCTGAGCCCGAGGTCACACTGAATGCGGCTCGGAGCCCGAGGTCACACGAATGCGGCTCGGAGCCCGAGGTCACACTGAATGCTGCTCTAAGCCCGAGGTCACACTAAGTGCGGCTGAGCCCGAGGTCACACCAAGTGCGGCTGAGCCTGAGGTCACACTGAATGCGGCTCGGAGCCCGAGGTCACACCGAATGCGGCTCGGAGCCCGAGGTCACACCGAATGCGGCTCGGAGCCGAGAGGTCACACCGAATGCGGCTCGGAGCCCGACACACCGAATGCGGCTCGGAGCCCGAGGTCACACGGAATGCGGCTCGGAGCCCGAGGTCACACCGAATGCGGCTCGGAGCCCGAGGTCACACCGAATGCGGCTCGGAGCCCGAGGTCACACTGAATGCGGCTCGGAGCCCGAGGTCACACTCGGAGCCCGAGGTCACACGAATGCGGCTCGGAGCCCGAGGTCACACCCGAATGCGGCTCGGAGCCCGAGGTCACACCGAATGCGGCTCGGAGCCCGAGGTCACACTGAATGCGGCTCGGAGCCCGAGGTCAGGTCACACTGAATGCGGCTCGGAGCCCGAGGTCACACTGAATGCGGCTCGGAGCCCGAGGTCACACTGAATGCGGCTCGGAGCCCGAGGTCACACTGAATGCGGCTCGGAGCCCGAGGTCACACTGAATGCTGCTCTAAGCCCGAGGTCACACTAAGTGCGGCTGAGCCTGAGGTCACACCGAACGCGGCTCGGAGCCCGAGGTCACACCGAACGCGGCTCGGAGCCCGAGGTCACACCGAACGCGGCTCGGAGCCCGAGGTCACACCGAACGCGGCTCGGAGCCCGAGGTCACACCGAACGCGGCTCGCAGCCCGAGGTCACACCGAACGCGGCTCGCAGCCCGAGGTCACACCGAACGCGGCTCGCAGCCCGAGGTCACACCGAACGCGGCTCGGAGCCCGAGGACACCGAACGCGGCTCGCCCGAGGTCCGAATGCGGTCGCAGCCCGAGGTCACACCGAATGCGGCTCGGAGCCCGAGGTCACACCGAACGCGGCTCGCAGCCCGAGGTCACACCGAATGCGGCTCGGACGGAGCCCGAGGTCACACCGAATGCGGCTTGGAAACAGAACTACTACATGAAGTAGCAGATGTCAAAGCCGGGGATCAGTGCGATTTCACAGGAGACTTGCATAGACATCTTTACATGAAGTCACACAGATATCAGGCAAGCTGCAAAGTCGAGTCGCACTGATGTGACCGGCTCCATAGATACAAATATTGTGCGACTTGTCAGGAGATTTTGAAATATTGAACCGCATGGAAAAAAAAAAAAAAAATAAAAATCACATTGGTGAGACCGGAGGCTGGATGAATACCCGACCAGTGCGGTGTAGGAGGAAGACATGATCTATTCATGAAGGAACACATTCCACGATTGTGTGTAGAATGTAACAGAAACCAGCAGGACTGAGGGGGGTGAGGGGCCACCTAACGTCACACACAAACATAAGGGGCATTAAACCATCCCGGGACTTTGGACCCTTCACTGCCGGGTCTGTACATCCTATGGACATCACAGCGGGGGCGGCACACAATCGGGATGGCGTGTAAAACGGACAGCAGACTCCGGGGTGCCAATCCTCCAAACACAAGGGGGGGTTCCTTTACAAAAGGCAAATAGATTGGGCACTGCAAAGTGCTGTTGTTCCAGAGCTTAGTAAACGAAGGGAAGGTCCACTTGGCAAAGAACACCCAATCACATGCAAGGAAAAAAAACAAAAAATCCCTTCATTTTTGCTTGCACATGATTGGATGATGGCAGTCGGCGAGGCGTCTGCTCATGTACTAAGCTCTGCTGTAACTGCCCTCGGAGCGCACAGTCTTTGTTTCTTTAGTAAATAAACCCCAAGAAGACTTAAGTCATTCACGGGTCGAATTCCAAACGATATTTTCAATCGAAAACATTGTTCGTTCTATAATCCGATGGTGCCACCAATCATTTCAAAAATCGGTAGTTTTTCAAGAATTTTCCAGAGTGCCCGATAAACAAAATGGGGAGGAGCCACAAAAATCGTCCGGTGCCATCGCCCCACTAACAGCAAAAAAATCTGTCTGGTGCCATCGCCCCACTAACAGCAAAAATCTGTCTGGTGCCGTCGCCCCACTAACAGAGCAAAAATCGGCCGAATATTCTTAGGTCCGATGTTCAAATGAAAAATCATATGGAAATCAACCCGTGTATGGCCGGCCTAACTGCCGATTCTGCTGCTGAACCTCGGTCCCGTGTGTGACCCCAGCAGATGGAAGTGACCCGATGCAGAGCCTATCACAGACAAAGAGAGCCACGGATCCCCTCCCCCCTCCGTACCGCTATATTAATCTTGATGGTCTGTCCCTCCTTGAATCCCAGGTCCAGTTTGGGTCCGGGGTCCGGGTTCTGCGCCTGTTTAGCAAACTCTGACTGCTGCTTCACCCATCTGTGGAGAGGAAAAGTGTGAAGACAGGAGGAGAGACTGCAGCACACAGGAGGAGGAGAAACTGCAGCACACAGGAGGAGAGAAACTGCAGCACACAGGAGGAGGAGAAACTGCAGCACACAGGAGGAGGAGGAGAGACTGCAGCACACAGGAGGAGGAGAAACTGCAGCACACAGGAGGAGGAGAAACTGCAGCACACAGGAGGAGGAGGAGAGACTGCAGCACACAGGAGGAGGAGGAGAAACTGCAGCACACAGGAGGAGGAGGAGAGACCGCAGCACACAGGAGGAGGAGGAGAGACCGCAGCACACAGGAGGAGGAGGAGAGACCGCAGCACACAGGAGGAGGAGGAGAGACCGCAGCACACAGGAGGAGGAGGAGAGACCACAGCAGGAGGAGGAGAGGACCCTGCAGCAGGAGGAGGAGGAAGAGAGACCGCAGCACACAGGAGGAGGAGGAGGAGAGACCGCCGCAGCACACAGGAGGAGGAGTAGGAGAGACCGCAGCATACAGGAGGAGGAGGAAGAGAGACCGCAGCACACAGGAGGAGGAGAGACAGGAGGAGGAGAGACCGCAGCACACAGGAGGAGGAGGAGAGACCGCAGCACACAGGAGGAGGAGGAGAGACCGCAGCACACAGGAGGAGGAGGAGAGACCGCAGCATACAGGAGGAGGAGGAGACCGCAGCAACACAGGAGGAGGAGGAGAGACCGCAGCACACAGGAGGAGGAGGAACAGAGAGACCGCAGCACACAAGGAGGAGGAGGAGAGAGGAGAGACCGCAGCACACAGGAGGAGGAGGAGGAGAGACCGCAGCACACAGGGAGGAGGAGGAGAGACCGCAGCACACAGGAGGAGGAGGAAGAGAGACCGCAGCACACACAGGAGGAGGAGAGACCGCAGCACACAGGAGGGAGGAGGAGAGACCGCAGCACACAGGAGGAGGAGGAGAGACCGCAGCACACAGGAGGAGGAGGAGAGACTGCAGCATACAGGAGGAGGAGGAGAGACCGCAGCATACAGGAGGAGGAGGAGAGACCGCAGCAGCATACAGGAGGAGAGAGACCGCAGCACACAGGAGGAGGAGGAGAGACCGCAGCACAGGAGGAGGAGGAGAGACCGCAGCACACAGGAGGAGGAGGAGAGACCGCAGCACACAGGAGGAGGAGGAGAGACCGCAGCACACAGGAGGAGGAGGAGAGACCGCAGCACACAGGAGGAGGAGGAGGAGAGACCGCAGCACACAGGAGGAGGAGGAGAGACCGCAGCACACAGGAGGAGGAGGAGAGACTGCAGCACACAGGAGGAGAGACTGCAGCACACAGAGGAGGAGGAGAAACTACAGCACACAGAGGAGGAGAGACTGCCGCACACAGGAGGAGGAGGAGGAGGAGGAGAGACTGCCGCACACACAGGAGGAGAGAGACTGCCGCACACAGGAGGAGGAGGAGGAGACCGCAGCACACAGGAGGAGGAGGAGAGACCGCAGCACACAGGAGGAGGAGGAGAGACCGCAGCACACAGGAGGAGGAGGAGAGACCGCAGCACACAGGAGGAGGAGGAGAGACCGCAGCACACAGGAGGAGGAGGAGAGACCGCAGCACACAGGAGGAGGAGAGACCGCAGCACACAGGAGGAGAGGAGAGACCGCAGCACACAGGAGGAGGAGGAGAGACCGCAGCACACAGGAGGAGGAGAGACCGCAGCACAGGACACAGGCAGGGAGGAGGAGAGACTGGAGGATGAGCACACACAGGAGGAGGTGAGACACACAGGAGGAGGAGGAGAGACTGCAGCACACAGGAGGAGGAGGAGAGACTGCAGCACACAGGAGGAGGAGGAGAGACTGCAGCACACAGGAGGAGGAGGAGAGACTGCAGCACACAGGAGGAGGAGGAGAGACTGCAGCACACAGGAGGAGGAGGAGAGACTGCAGCACACAGGAGGAGGAGAGACTACAGCACACAGACATTCCAAGGGGTAATGGCTCATACAGGAACATTCAGGGTTTGTTCAATCCAGGACTGGCAAGCTGGGTTTTGTTTTACGTTTTTTTTTGCACACTGCTGCACATGTATGGTGTGCACAGGACACACAGAGCACATGTATGGTGTGCACAGGACACACAGAGCACATGTATGGTGTGCACAGGACACACAGAGCACATGTATGGTGTGCACAGGACACACAGAGCACATGTATGGTGTGCACAGGACACACAGAGCACAAAGGGTTTCTATGTACAATGTTCTCACCATACAAGTGCAAAAAGAAACTCCACTAAAAACAAACAAAAAAAACAAAAACAAACAAAAAAACCCCCACAGCTCAAAACAAAGTAGTGTGCGCAGGACACAGAGCACAACTATGTACAATGTTCTCACCATACAAGTGCAAATAAAAAAAAAAAAACAAAGAAAAAAAACACTACAAAAATAAAAACCAAAAAAAAAAAAAGAAAAAAAAAAAAAAGAAACCCCCACAGCTCCATGGACATGTGTGAACAAAGTAGTGCGCAGGGGACACAGAGCACAACTGTCTTCTACATACAATGTTCTCACCATAGAAGTGTAAAAAAAACAAAAAAAAAAACTAACCACTAAAAAAAAATAACAAAAAAAACCACAAAAGCCCACAGCTGGATGGACGTGTGAGAACATAGTGACCGGTGTGAGGCCATCGGTGCTGAGAACACAGATATGAGGCCGTTGGTGCTGAGAACACGGATATGAGGCCCGTCGGTGCTGAGAACACGGATATGAGGCCGTCGGTGCTGAGAGAACACGGATATGAGAATGAGGCCATCGGTGCCGAGAACACGGATATGAGGCCGTCGGTGCTGAGAACACGGATATGAGGCCATCGGTGCTGAGAACACAGATATGAGGCCATCGGTGCTGAGAACACAGATATGAGGCTGTTGGTGCTGAGAACACGGATATGAGGCCATCGGTGCTGAGAACACGGATATGAGGCCGTCGGTGCTGAGAACACGGATATGAGGCCATCGGTGCTGAGAACACAGATATGAGGCTGGTTGGTGCTGAGAACACAGATATGAGGCTGTTGGTGCTGAGAACACGGATATGAGGCCTGTTGGTGCTGAGAACACAGATATGAGGCCATTGGTGCTGAGAACACAGATATGAGGCCGTCGGTGCTGAGAACACAGATAGGAGGCTGTTGGTGCTGAGAACACAGATAGGAGGCCATTGGTGCTGAGAACACAGATAGGAGGCTGTTGGTGCTGAGAACAGATATGAGGCCATTGGTGCTGAGAACACGGATATGAGGCCATCGACGGTGCTGAGAACACGGATATGAGGCCGTCGGTGCTGAGAACACAGATATGAGGCCGTTGGTGCTGAGAACACAGATTTGAGGCCGTTGGTGCTGAGAACACAGATATGAGGCCGTTGGTGCTGAGAACACACCGGATATGAGGCCATTGGTGCTGAGAAACACAGATATGAGGCCGTCGGTGCCGAGAACACAGATATGAGGCCGTCGGTGCTGAGAACACAGATATGAGGCCGTTGGTGCTGAGAGAACACAGATATGAGGCCGTTGGTGCTGAGAACACAGATATGAGGCCATTGGTGCTGAGAACACAGATATGAGGCTGTTGGTGCTGAGAACACAGATATGAGGCTGTTGGTGCTGAGAACAACGGATATGAGGCCATCGGTGCTGAGAACACACGGATATGAGGCCATTGGTGCTGAGAACACAGATATGAGGCCATCGGTGCTGAGAAACACGGATATGAGGCCATTGGTGCTGAGAACACAGATATGAGGCCGTCGGTGCTGAGAACACACGAGATAGGAGGCTGTTGGTGCTGAGAACACGGATATGAGGCCGTCGGTGCTGAGAACACGGATATGAGGCTGTTGGTGCTGAGAACACGGATATGAGGCCGTCGGTGCTGAGAACACGGATATGAGGCTGTTGGTGCTGAGAACACAGATATGAGGCCCACGGTGCTGAGAACACAGATATGAGGCCGTCGGTGCTGAGAACACAGATATGATGGCCGTTGGTGCTGAGAACACAGATATGAGGCCGTTGGTGCTGAGAACACAGATATGAGGCCATCGGTGCTGAGAACAGATATGAGGCCATCGGTGCTGAGAACACGGATATGAGGCCGTCGGTGCTGAGAACACATATGAGGCCATCGGTGCTGAGAAACACGGATATGAGGCCATCGGTGCTGAGAACACAGATATGAGGCCATCGGTGCTGAGAACAGATTTGAGGCCGTCGGTGCTGAGAACACGGATATGAGGCCGTCGGTGCTGGAGAACACGGATATGAGGCTGTTGGTGCTGAGAACACGGATATGAGGCCGTCGGTGCTGAGAACACGGATATGAGGCCGTCGGTGCTGAGAACACGGATATGAGGCCGTCGGTGCTGAGAACACGGATATGAGGCCGTCGGTGCTGAGAACACGGATATGAGGCTGTCGGTGCTGAGAACACGGATATGAGGCTGTTGGTGCTGAGAACACAGATATGAGGCCGTTGGTGCTGAGAAACACAGATATGAGGCCGTTGGTGCTGAGAACACACAGATATGAGGCCGTTGGTGCTGAGAACACGGATATGAGGCCATCGGTGCTGAGAACACGGATATGAGGCCATTGGTGCTGAGAACACAGATATGAGGCCATCGGTGCTGAGAAACACGGATATGAGGCCATTGGTGCTGAGAACACAGATATGAGGCCATTGGTGCTGAGAACACAGATATGAGGCCGTCGGTGCTGAGAACACAGATAGGAGGCTGTTGGTGCTGAGAACACGGATATGAGGCCGTCGGTGCTGAGAACACGGATATGAGGCTGTTGGTGCTGAGAACACGGATATGAGGCCGTCGGTGCTGAGAACACGGATATGAGGCTGTTGGTGCTGAGAACACAGATATGAGGCCGTCGGTGCTGAGAACACAGATATGAGGCCGTCGGTGCTGAGAACACAGATATGAGGCCAATGGTGCTGAGAACACAGATATGAGGCCGTTGGTGCTGAGAACACAGATATGAGGCCGTTGGTGCTGAGAACACAGATATGAGGCCATCGGTGCTGAGAACAGATATGAGGCCATCGGTGCTGAGAACACGGATATGAGGCCGTCGGTGCTGAGAACACATATGAGGCCATCGGTGCTGAGAACACGGATATGAGGCCATCGGTGCTGAGAACACAGATATGAGGCCATCGGTGCTGAGAACACGGATATGAGGCCATCGGTGCTGAGAACAGATATGAGGCCATTGGTGCTGAGAACACGGATATGAGGCCGTCGGTGCTGAGAACACGGATATGAGGAGGCCGTCGGTGCTGAGAACACGGATATGAGGCTGTTGGTGCTGAGAACAGATTTGAGGCCGTCGGTGCTGAGAACACAGATATGAGGCCGTCGGTGCTGAGAACACAGATATGAGGCCGTTGGTGCTGAGAACACAGATATGAGGCCATCGGTGCTGAGAACACAGATTTGAGGCCGTTGGTGCTGAGAACACAGATATGAGGCTGTTGGTGCTGAGAACACAGATTTGAGGCCGTTGGTGCTGAGAAACACAGATATGAGGCTGTTGGTGCTGAGAACACAGATATGAGGCCATCGGTGCTGAGAACACAGATATGAGGCCATCGGTGCTGAGAACACGGATATGAGGCCGTTGGTGCTGAGAACACGGATATGAGGCCGTTGGTGCTGAGAACACGGATATGAGGCCATTGGTGCTGAGAACACGGATATGAGGCCATTGGTGCTGAGAACACGGATATGAGGCCATTGGTGCTGAGAACACGGATAGGAGGCCATTGGTGCTGAGAACACGGATATGAGGCCGTTGGTGCTGAGAACAGATTTGAGGCTTTGCCGTGTTAGTGGTGGGAACTTGCTAAGCCCCGACTATAAATCTAAGCTGACAACATGACATTAATGCCATTATGAGGCCTCGATCACACGGTGGGGGGGGGGGGGGGGGGGAGAGGGGGGGGGGGGTACTGAAGCTGACGCAAGGGCCGTGTTTACCCGCACAGGAGTTCCGTTCATCCCTATGCAAGGCAGTTCCATTCAAGCCAATCAGATCGCAGAGATGGCAAGGACACAGCTGCAACGGAGACCAGACTGGGGCATCAGCTGTGCTCCCATGACTTGAATGGAACCTCCAGCACATGGATACACGGAACTCCTGCGCCTCCCTGTGCAGGAACACACGGCCCTCACCTGGGCAGATACTAAAGTACACCCAATGGAAGTGAGGTCCAAGAAAAGGGCGGTCACATTGGAGACGTTCACCCCGATCTCCTGTCCTTGGGGGGGATGAATGCTCGGGATGAAGGGGCGCTGCGAGCCAATGGGAAGAGAGCGGCCGGCGTGGCGGGAACTTACTTGAAGTGGTCTTGTAAGGCGACGTTGAAGTCGAAGGCGTCTCCTCTGTCGGCAAAGCCCACCCCGATGAACGCCCGCCGCCCTACCAGAGCAGAGGGTTAGATGTGACTACAATCCTGGTGTGCACACACAGCACAGCAGAGGGGACACTCACCGCTCCCGTCCTCGATGCAGAGAACAAAGTATCGGCTGGAGTCCACCACGCTCTCCACCGCGATGCCGGGAAACTGCTCCACCGGGGCCTGAGCGAACAGCTCACCTGCCGAGAGAACAGGCGGGGCGGAGATCAGTAATGGGGGCTCATTCACACAAGAACCAGCACACAGCATGCAGAGGAGCGGGATGAGACCCCCTGTCAGCTTTTATTGCTGTGTTCCCACTGGAGAGATTCCCCCCTCCCCCCCGCTCAATTTGTCTGGCTTACACAGAGAGTGAAAGAAAAATCCCACATTTTGGGTTGTCACCAGGACAGGAATAGATGAGAAACCTTCCAATGGGGACGCTAGTTCTGGGATTCCCTCATTTTGGAGGGATTTCCTCACTTCCTGTTTGGCTCTGGAACAGGAAGTGAAGGGAAATATCCCCAATGGGGGCGCTAGTTCTGGGATTTCCCTCATTTTGGAGGGATTTCCTCTCACTTCCTGTTTGGCTCTGGAACAGGAAGTGAAGGGAAATATCCCCAATGGGGACACTAGTTCTGGAATTCTCTCTCAGTTTATGTTTGGCTACAGGACAGGAAGTGAAATCTTCAAATGGGGACGCTAGTTCTGGGATTCCCTCCTTTTGGAAGGATTTCCTCTTACTTCCTGTTTGGCTCTGAGACAGGAAGTGAAATCTCCCCAATGGGGACGCTAGTTCTGGGATTCCCTCATTTTGGAGGGATTTCCTTTCAATTCCTGTTTGGCTCTGAGACAGAAAGTGATATCTTCCAATGGTGACGCTAGTTCTGGGATTCCCTCATTTTGGAGGGATTTCCTCTCACTTCCTGTTTGGCTCTGGAACAGGAAGTGAAGGGAAATATCCCTAATGGTGACACTAGTTATGGAATTCTCTCTCAGTTCCTGTTTGGCTCCAGGACAGGAAGTGAAATCTTCCAATGGGGACGCTAGTTCTGGGATTCCCTCATTTTGGAAGGATTTCCTCTTACTTCCTGTTTGGCTCTGAGACAGGAAGTGAAATCTCCCCAATGGGGACGCTAGTTCTGGGATTCCCTCATTTTGGAGGGATTTCCTTTCACTTCCTGTTTGGCTCTGAGACAGGAAGTGATATCTTCCAATGGTGACGCTAGTTCTGGGATTCCCTCATTTTGGAGGGATTTCATCTCACTTCCTGTTTGGCTCCGGGACAGGAAGTGAAATCTCCCCAACGGAGACACAGACAGGGGTTACAACCCTCCGTTACTCTGCTACTTGACCACTTTATTGAATTCTATGTGCAGCAGATTGCTGGGATGCATGACGGCAAGTCGGAGCACGCGGCACAAAACGTCAACGCCCGTACAGCGTACTGATCCCCAGCAGGCGGTCCGCACGGTGAGCGGTGCAGAACGCGGAGCTCAGCCTGATTCCGATGAACAATGCCGCCATCAGCCTCCTCCAGGTCCTCCTGTCATGGCGGATTATCATCCACAGTCTGTGTACAGGAAAAGGATGGCGGCCGCTCTGCTCGCCGTGTACAGAGGATGTGAAGGAAGGAAACGGGGGAGAACCAGCGGGGGAGGGGATACGAGATATAAGTGCGGAGAACTCCCCGACCTCTCACTTCCTCATCACTCTCCGCACATCCGGAATCAGCAATTCCATCGGAATTCCCCAAAATCACAAGACTGCCTGTGACAGCCAATCAGATTCTTCCACTCCGGGCAAGGTGAGGTGTATATACAGACCTGTCCGGTCCTCTCTGATATATAGAGGGGGATGTATGCAGACCTGTCTCCGGTCCTCTCTGTATATAGAGGGGGGATGTATGCAGACCTGTGTCCGGTCCTCTCTGTATATAGAGGGGGATGTATGCAGACCTGTGTCCGGTCCTCTCTGTATATAGAGGGGGATGTATGGAGACCTGTGTCCGGTCCTCTCTGTATATAGAGGGGGATGTATGCAGACCTGTGTCCGGTCCTCTCTGTATATAGAGGGGGATGTATGGAGACCTGTGTCCGGTCCTCTCTGTATATAGAGGGGGATGTATGGAGACCTGTGTCCGGTCCTCTCTGTATATAGAGGGGGATGTATGGAGACCTGTGTCCGGTCCTATCTGTATATAGAGGGGGATGTATGGAGACCTGTGTCCGGTCCTCTCTGTATATAGAGGGGGATGTATGGAGACCTGTGTCCGGTCCTATCTGTATATAGAGGGGGATGTATGGAGACCTGTGTCCGGTCCTGTATATCTGTATATACAGACCTGTGTCCGGTCCTCTCTGTATATAGAGGGGGATGTATGGAGACCTGTGTCCGGTCCTCTCTGTATATAGAGGGGGATGTATGGAGACCTGTGTCCGGTCCTCTCTGTACATAGAGGGGGATGTATGCAGACCTGTGTCCGGTCCTCTCTGTATATAGAGGGGGATGTATGGAGACCTGTGTCCGGTCCTCTCTGTATATAGAGGGGGATGTATGGAGACCTGTGTCCGGTCCTCTCTGTATATAGAGGGGGATGTATGGAGACCTGTGTCCGGTCCTCTCTGTACATAGAGGGGGATGTATGGAGACCTGTGTCCGGTCCTCTCTGTACATAGAGGGGGATGTATGGAGACCTGTGTCCGGTCCTCTCTGTATATAGAGGGGGATGTATGGAGACCTGTGTCCGGTCCTCTCTGTATATAGAGGGGGATGTATGCAGACCTGTGTCCGGTCCTATCTGTACATAGAGGGGGATGTATGGAGACCTGTGTCCGGTCCTCTCTGTATATAGAGGGGGATGTATGGAGACCTGTGTCCGGTCCTCTCTGTACATAGAGGGGGATGTATGGAGACCTGTGTCCGGTCCTCTCTGTACATAGAGGGGGATGTATGGAGACCTGTGTCCGGTCCTCTCTGTATATAGAGGGGGATGTATGGAGACCTGTGTCCGGTCCTCTCTGTATATAGAGGGGGATGTATGCAGACCTGTGTCCGGTCCTATCCGTGTCCGGTCCTCTCTGTATATAGAGGGGGATGTATGCAGACCTGTGTCCGGTCCTCTCTGTACATAGAGGGGGATGTATGGAGACCTGTGTCCGGTCAGACCTGTGTCGGGTCCTCTCTGTATATATAGAGGGGATGTATGCAGACCTGTGTCCGGTCCTCTCTGTATATAGAGGGGGATGTATGGAGACCTGTGTCCGGTCCTATCTGTATATAGAGGGGGATGTATGCAGACCTGTGTCCGGTCCTCTCTGTATATAGAGGGGGATGTATGGAGATCTGTGTCCGGTCCTCTCTGTATATAGAGGGGGATATGTATGCAGACCTGTGTCCGGTCCTCTCTGTATATAGAGGGGGATGTATGGAGACCTGTGTCCGGTCCTCTCTGTACATAGAGGGGGATGTATGCAGACCTGTGTCCGGTCCTCTCTGTACATAGAGGGGGATGTATGCAGACCTGTGTCCGGTCCTCTCTGTATATACAGACCTGTGTCCCGTCCTCTCTGTATATAGAGGGGGATGTATGCAGACCTGTGTCCGGTCCTCTCTGTACATAGAGGGGGATGTATGCAGACCTGTGTCCGGTCCTCTCTGTACATAGAGGGGGATGTATGCAGACCTGTGTCCGGTCCTCTCTGTACATAGAGGGGGATGTATGGAGACCTGTGTCCGGTCCTCTCTGTATATACAGACCTGTGTCCGGTCCTCTCTGTATATACAGACCTGTGTCCCGTCCTCTCTGTATATAGAGGGGGGATGTATGCAGACCTGTGTTCTCGGTCCGCAGACCTGTGTGTATGCCCTGGTCCTCTCTCTGTACATAGAGGGGGATGTATGCAGACCTGTGTCCGGTCCTCTCTGTATATATAGAGGGGGTCCTCTCTGTATATATAGAGGGGGATGTATGCAGACCTGTCTCCGGTCCTCTCTGTATATAGAGGGGGATGTATGCAGACCTGTGTCCGGTCCTCTCTGTACATAGAGGGGGATGTATGCAGAGGGTCTGGTCCTCTCTGTATAGCATGTACAGACCTGTGTCCGGTCCTCTCTGTACATAGAGGGGGATGTATGCAGACCTGTGTCCGGTCCTCTCTGTACATAGAGGGGGATGTATGCAGACCTGTGTCTGGTCCTCTCTGTACATAGAGGGGGGATGTATGCAGACCTGTGTCCGGTCCTCTCTGTATATAGAGGGGGATGTATGGAGACCTGTGTCCGGTCCTCTCTGTATATAGAGGGGGATGTATGCAGACCTGTGTCCGGTCCTCTCTGTATATACAGACCTGTGTCCGGTCCTCTCTGTATATATATATATATATATTTAGGTGGGTGGGGGGGAGGTATATATGGACCTGTGTCCGGTCCTCTCTGTGTATATACAGATTTGGGGGGTTGAGAGGTGTATATAGATCTGTGTCCGGTCCTCTCTGTATATATACAGATTTGGGGGGAGGTGTATATAGACCTGTGTCCAGTTCTCTCTGTATATAGAGGACATATAAATGTATGTGAGGTATATATGGACCTGTGTCTGGTACCCTCTGTATACAAGGGATATATATACTGCTCCAGGTTTTTTTTTTTTTTCCCTCTCTCTCTTAGGGGGAGGGGTATATAAAGAAGTGTATCTACATATATTGGCGGTCCAGTCCTCTCTGTATATAAGATATATATGGGGGTGGGGTGTATAGATACCAGTGGTCTGGTCCTCTGTATACAGATTATATCTATGGGGGAGGGGTATGTATACATATTGGTGGTCCTGTGTGTATATGAATATATAGAGTGTATATATAAAGGGGGTGGGGGGTATACAGGTATAGCGGTGGGTCTAGTTCTCTGTATATATACAGATGTATATGGGGGAGGGTGTATGTATGTGTATGGTATATGGAGGGGGTGAAGAGTGACGGGTGTATATAGGGGGGGGAGGGGGGGGAGGAATACCTGTACACACCGGTGGTCCGGTCCTCCAGCTTGATGAAGGCCGCATTCCCCCGGGCGGTGACCCGGAGGCGCCCACTCCAGGCCGGTTGGTCCAGCTGCCATTCCGCCGCCCTGTAGGACAGAGAAGGAAGGAGAGTGAGAGCCCCGGACTCCCCGCCCGCTGTCACCCCTTGCTCGGAACCTCTCTCACCGGTATCCCCGGTTAGAGGCCCGGGGCGGGATCCGGTAGACGTGCACTTCCGGCTTCACACAGAGCACCGACTCGTAATCTGCGTCCGCCATCTTCCTCCACCCAGCTTCGCTTCCGCCTCTCTATGGTCAACGAAGGATAGAGGCGTCTCCAACTCCGGGCAAAGTACTGTCAGGTGAGCGTCGTCGTACAGTGCCCCCAGTGGTCGTCCCGGGAAGCGCACTCATCCTCCAATACATCAGAATAGAGCTCTCCAACAGTGGAGTACAGCTCCTCTAGTGGCCAGTCCGGGAAGTGCACTCTTTCAGCAGCACAGCGCCCCCAGCGGCCGGTCTGGGAAGTGTAACTCTAATGCAGCTTCCACTCAGTGATGATCAGTGTCAGTATTGGTGGTCCCCATCCCAGCATTCCTACTAATCATTATTACTGTCCCCACCGAGGCAGGGCTTACATTACACTCTGCTGAGAGTTCTGAGTGTGACCTGCATAGAACATTGGGATTGATTAACTAAAGGCAAGGAGACAGTTCCCTGTGCAACTGAACATGAGCTAAAGTGTTCCCAGACCCCGCACTCGCTACATCCGCTCCGCCCCGGGACCCCGCACTCGCTACATCCGCTCCGCCCCGGAACCCCGCACTCGCTCCATCCGCTCGCCCCGGAACCCCCGCACTCGCTACATCCGCTCCGCCCCGGGACCCCCGCACTCGCTACATCCGCTCCGCCCCGGGACCCCGCACTCGCTACATCCGCTCCGCCCCGGGACCCCCCGTCACGCACTCGGTACATCCACTCACCCCCGGGACCCCACACTCGCTCCATCCGCTCACCCCGGGACCCCGCACTCGCTCCATCCGCTCACCCCCGGGACCCCGCACTAGCTCCATCCGCTCCGCCCCGGGACCCTGCACTCGCTACATCCGCTCCGCCCCGGGACCCCGCACTCGGTACATCCACTCACCCCGGGACCCTGCTGCACTCGCTCCATCCGCTCACCCCGGGACCCCACACTCGCTCCATCCGCTCACCCCGGGACCCCACACTCGCTCCATCCACTCGCCCCGGATCACCCAAAAGCACTTGCAGGCTCCATGCCCACTAGTGTTTTTTTTTTTTTTTTTTTTTTTATGCTCCTAGAAGCCAAATCGTGTTATCCCATGTGCCCATGCACTTTATTTTAGTGCTAGGAACATGATTCAGTATCGTAGGAGCACAAAAAAAAAAAACCACTAAATGGTCCTAACAGCTTTTTTATAAGACATTGTTCTTATAAATAGTTTCATCTCCATAAACCTGCGGCCCTCGGACCCCAAAGACATTGTTCTTATAAATGGTGTCCTCTGTGTAAACCTTCTGTGGACGTCAGACAGCTTGCCCCCCCCCCCCCCCTTCTGTGGACGTCGGACAGCTTGCCCCCCCCCCTTCTGTGGACGTCGGACAGCTTGCCCCCCCCCTCATCAAATTATTATTATTATACAGTATTTATAAAGCGCCGATAGTTGGCTCAGCGCTGTACATTACAAAGGGGGACAGAACATGTGACAGAACAATACCAATACAATGCGATACATGAGGGGATCGAGGGCCCTGATCCTGGGAGCTTACATACTCAATGACAGCTCATTGCTTCTGCTTGGAATCCATGATTTCCCTGCAATGCAAAGGTTGCTATAGTGGAAGTTACTCTACCAACATGATATTGGAATTGCCTGTGAAAGAAGGGGGGGGGGGGGGGGGGGGGGGTAAGGGGGTAGTAGAGAATCATTTTCCTACTTACATCCAGTAGGTAGTTCAAATCTAGTGGTAGGTACTCTACGCACGTGATATTTTAACTACCTATTTAAAGCAGGAAAATAATTTTTTTTATATCTATATTTTTTAATCCCCCCTTCTCTGCCAACATTACATTTGAACCCCCTATTTAAGAAGGGGGGGGAAATATTTTTTTTTTTTTCCTATTTACACAGGTAGTGCAAATATCATGTTGTTAGAGTAACTTCCACTACTATAGCAACTTTTTCATTGCAGGGAAATAATGGATTCCATACAGAAGCAATGAGCGGTCATTGAGTTTTTTGATGAAGGAGGGGGGGCAAGCTGTCTGACAGCCACAGAAGGTTTACACAGAGGCCACCATTTATAAGAACAATGTCTTTGGTGACTCTTGGCAATGGTGTCCTCTGTATAAACATTCTGTGGCCGTTAGAGAGCTTCCCCCCCTCCATCAAAAACTCAATAATTGCAGGGAAATAATAAATTCCATGCAGAAGCAATGAGCTATCATTGAGTTTTTTGATGAAGGAGGGGTGCAGGCTGTCCGACAGTGACAGAAGGTTGACACAAAGGCGACCATTTATAAGAACAATGTCTTTGGTGACTCTTGGCAATGGTGGCCTCTGTATAAACATTCTGTGGACGTCGGACATCCCACACCCCTCCTTCATCAAAAAAATCAATGATTGCACATTGCTGGGAAATAATGGATTCCATGCAGAAGCAATGAAGCTATCATTGAGTTTTTGATGAAGGAGGGGGGCAAGTGTCCAACGTCCACAGGAGGCAAAGCATTGCCAAGAGTCACCAAAGACATTGTTTTATAAATTGTGGCCTCTGTGTAAACCTTTGGATGGCTGTCAGACAGCTTGCCCCCCCTCCTTCATCAAAAACTCAATTGCTCATTACTTCTGCATGGAATTCATTATTTCCCTGCAATGAAAAAGTTGCTATAGTGCAGTGTTTCAGCAATTCCAGTCCCTCATGGACCCCCCCCAGGTCATGTTTTCAGGATTTTCCATTATTTTGCACAGGTGATCTGATCAGAGCTTTCACTGCCTTAGTAATTACCACAGCTGTTTTCATCTGAGGGAAATCCTGAAAACATGACCTGTTGGGGGGTCCATGAGGACTGAGTTGAGAAACACTGCTATAGTGGAAGTTACTCAACCAACACGTGATACTTGAACTACTTATGTAAGAAGTAAAAAAAAAAAAAAAAAAGTTAAGTATTACTTATTAAAGTGGAACTTCACTCTCTCCATCATCAGTGACTATTTGTAATCCTTCCTCTGTTCTCATTACTATAGGGATAGGAAAGTAAATCACATTTATTTGTTTTAAACTTTTTAGCCAATGCCTGAGCTAAGGGCAGATGGATTCCAGGAAGTAAATACTACACATGAATCATCTGCATCATGGCCACAGCTAGAAATGCTAGGGGGGGGGGGGGGGGGGTTAAAAAGTGATCTCAGCAATATAAAAGCATAGACACGTGGATGGATGGGTGCATTTTCTTTAAATATTAAAAAATGAATCAAAGAAGTGTTTTTAGTTTGTGGTGCTCAAGTGCAGCTCCACTCTTGCAGTATAGGTACAGCCGTCCAACAGCAGTTCATGTCCAACCAGTAAAGTCTAATGATTCTGGATCCACAATAAATAAAAGGCAAATGATAATTTAGCTGCTTCTTTTCATCCTGCAGTCAGACCTCAGAGTGCAACTATCAGCGCACACATTGACCCAGCCATGGATATGTGCGGCACTTCAGCCCTCCCTTTTATCACACACGTGTTGGGTGGTCATAAAGGGGTTAGGAACCACATAAGGCCCTCAGCCTGGCCCCCAGGGGTATTGCCATGCAGGATCTCCCAAAAGTCTTCTCTGCAGATTGTAGAATGACCGCCAACTTTAGGAATTCATATTTACCAAGAGGAACGCAGAACTCACCCCTTCAGCATATCATCCACAGAGAACCTCCTAAAGGCATTCTATCTCTGCAAGACAACCATTGCACAAGTACACCTAAAGCGGTTATAAACCCCCGGCCCCAGGTGATACAGATGAAACAAATCCTCCTACATTGTACCTGTTTATCTGCAGTCTTCATCCATTCAAAGTGCAGAATTTATAAAACTTGTCTTGAGAGTTCAGAAAAAAAAAAAAAAAAAAAAGGAAGGTGAAGTCAAACTCTGCAGAGCTTAGTGAGGAGACCTCAGAGCTGACTGGAGGGAAGAGATCCATCCTCCACACAGGAACGGAGCTGAGTCTATCAATCACAGGCTGTGTGTTGGAGCTTCATCCCCTGTCACCAATGTTCTCTTGGTGTCAGGAAAACTTGTCAGAGATGCCTCATACTGATAGAGGAAAGAGGCAGCAGACAAATGACACTTCGTGCTCTGGATTGAGACAAGTACACACTACAGAGGGATACACTTTGTTCATATTTCAGTGTGGATTTACACGTGTTGCAAATTGAGGCTCCATTTTCACAGCTAGCTGATGAAGTTCAGCGGTTCAGGTCAGATTTGGATCAGGAGGAGAAAAAAAAAAAAAACAAAAAAACACACAAGATGGCCTGAAAGTGTTCACAAACCAACAACACGGCATTCAGAAGTGGTTCCCATAGAAGTCAATGAGCCTGTAATCCGCACCTAAACCTGACTGCACTGCTCAGAAATCGGTCAGGACTCTTTTTCAATCCTCACCTCCCGTGCATCCGACATATGAACAGGCACCATAGGAAGCAATGATATTTCACATGGCATGCGGATTGGACGCGGTACATACCTCATCCTATCCACATATCTGTGAACCGGCTCTAAAGGTTTCCAACCACCAAAGTTAAGCTGGGTTGGAAGGGATCAGCGCTGATCCGATACACGCTTCCTCAGAAGAGAAATAAATACATCAAACACATATGTAAAATCTGAAGGGTTAAAAACATATTTACTACTAAGTTTTAAAACACAGCAAATTTATTTCTTCCTCTTAGAGAGTTGAGCTCCAGCCAAAACATTTATCATTTCAGATAGATCTGGGAAAATTACGGACATTTTCCCCCCCCCACTTCCTGTCCCTGTGACCACACAGAACACCCAATTTCCTGCACTATATGGCCAGACATACGGTGACCCCTTTCGAAAAGTAAGTTCAGGTCCAGTGAAGGGTCCTGGTAATCCTCCATCATACAAAGACAATTGTTGGCTTCCATCCTTGTGGTAACAGTTTGGTGAAGACTCTTTTCTGTCCCCCCCCCCCCCCCCCCCCCCCCCCCCCCCCCCCCCCCCCCCATGTACAAAGCCAGATCCATAAAAACATGGAGGACCAGTTTGGGTTGGAGAAATTTGAGTGTCCTGTACAGAACCCTGACCTCAACCCTACTGAAACACCTTTGGGATGAATTGGAGCATTGACGGCAAGCCAGGTCTTTTTTGGTGCCCAATGTGAGGCAAACATGCGACAGCCAGGTCTTCTCATCCAACATCAGTACCTGACCTCACCAACGGGCACACATTCCCAGACACGCCAAAATCTTGTGAAAAGCCTTCCCAAAGAGTGGAAGATGTTAGAAAAACAAAAGGGGTCTGCTCCCCAACACCATCGCCACGGGGGGTGGCCGCTACTCCCCAACCCCCATCGCCACGGGGGGTGGCCGCTACTCCCCCCAACCCCATCGCCACGGGGGGGTGCCGCTACTCCCCCCCAACCCCATCGCCACGGGGGCGGCCGCTACTCCCCAACCCCATCGCCACGGGGGGGGCGGCCGCTACTCTCCAACCCCATCGCCACGGTGGGGGGGGGGGCGCTACTCCCCAACCCATCGCCACGGGGGGGGGGGGGGGGGGGGGGGGGGGGGGCAAACGGGGGGGGGGGGGGGGGGGGGGGCGCTACTCCCCAACCCCATCGCCACGGGGGGGGCGCTACTCCCCAACCCCATCGCCACGGGGGGGGGGGGGCGCTACTCCCCAACCCCATCGCCACGGGGGGGGGGGGGGGCGCTACTCCCCAACCCCATCGCCACGGGGGGGGGGGGGGGGGCCGCTACTCCCCAACCCATCGCCACGGGGGGGGGGGGGGGGCCGCTACTCCCCAACCCATCGCCACGGGGGGGGGGGGGGGGGGGGGGGGCGCTACTCCCCAAACCCATCGCCACGGGGGGTGGCCGCTACTCTCCAACCCATCGCCACGGGGGGTGGCCGCTACTCTCCAACCCCATCGCCACGGGGGGTGGCCGCTACTCTCCAACCCCATCGCCACGGGGGGTGGCCGCTACTCTCCAACCCCATCGCCACGGGGGGTGGCCGCTACTCTCCAACCCCATCGCCACGGGGGGTGGCCGGGTCTCCAACCCCATCGCCACGGGGGGGGGGGGGGCGCTACTCTCCAACACCCCATCGCCACGGGGGGGGGGGGGGGGGGGGGGCGCTACTCTCCAACCCCATCGCCACGGGGGGGGGGGGGGGGCGCTACTCCCCAACCCCATCGCCACGGGGGGGGGGGGGGGGGCGCTACTCCCCAACCCCATCGCCACGGGGGGGGGGGGGGGGCGCTACTCCCCAACCCCATCGCCACGGGGGTGGGGGTGGCGCTACTCCCCAACCCATCGCCACGGGGGGTGGCCGCTACTCCCCCCAACCCATCGCCACGGGGGGTGGCGCTACTCCCAACCCCATCGCCACGGGGGGTGGGGGCTACTCCCCAACCCCATCGCCACGGGGAGTGGCCGCTACTCCCCAACCCCATCGCCACGGGGGGGGCCGCTACTCCCCAACCCCATCGCCACGGGGGGTGGCCGCTACTCCCCAACCCATCGCCACGGGGGGTGGCCGCTACTCCCCCAACCCATCGCCACGGGGGGTGGCCGCTACATCCCCAACCCATCGCCACGGGGGGTGGCGCCGCTACTCCCCAACCCATCGCCACGGGGGGTGGCCGCTACTCCCCAACCCATCGCCACGGGGGGTGGCCGCTACTCTCTCCAACCCCATCGCCACGGGGGGGGGGGGGGGCGCTACTCTCCAACACCCCATCGCCACGGGGGGGGCGCTACTCTCCCAACCCCATCGCCACGGGGGGGGGGGGGGGGCGCTACTCCCCAACCCCATCGCCACGGGGGGGGGGGGGGCGCTACTCCCCAACCCCATCGCCACGGGGGGGGGGGGGGCGCTACTCCCCAACCCCATCGCCACGGGGGGGGGGTTGCTACTCCCCAACCCATCGCCACGGGGGGGGGGGGGGGGGGGGGCCGCTACTCCCCAACCCATCGCCACGGGGGGGGGGGGCGCTACTCCCCAACCCATCGCCACGGGGGGGGGGCGCTACTCCCCAACCCATCGCCACGGGGGGTGGCCGCTACTCTCCAACCCATCGCCACGGGGGGTGGCCGCTACTCTCCAACCCCATCGCCACGGGGGGTGGCCGCTACTCTCCAACCCCATCGCCACGGGGGGGGGGGGGGCGCTACTCTCCAACACCCCATCGCCACGGGGGGGGGGGGGCGCTACTCCCCAACCCCATCGCCACGGGGGGGGGGGGGCGCTACTCCCCAACCCATCGCCACGGGGGGTGGCCGCTACTCCCCAACCCATCGCCACGGGGGGTGGCCGCTACTCCCCCAACCCATCGCCACGGGGGGTGGCCGCTACTCCCCAACCCATCGCCACGGGGGGTGGCCGCTACTCCCCAACCCATCGCCACGGGGGGTGGCCGCTACTCCCCAACCCATCGCCACGGGGGGTGGCCGCTACTCCCCAACCCATCGCCACGGGGGGTGGCCGCTACTCCCCAACCCATCGCCACAGGGGGCGGCCACTACTCACCAACCCATGGCCATAGTTTAGGAATGGAAGCCCAGCCACATAGGGGTGATGATCAGGTATCCACAAAAACATTTGCCCATACAGTATATTTCTTGGGGCTGGCTCTGTATTGGATTCTACACAGGACAAACAAGACTGGACTCCAGGGAGAGGAGGCAGGAACTTTAGCACCCAGCAATACCCAAGTGGTCACAAAGACAGGAAGGGAGATGAAATAGACAACCTGAGACCTCTAGCCTCCCGTCGTCTGAAGAACAGTAAAGTTACATCTAGTGATCCAGCCAAATGTAAACAATGTGATATCAGAATAGTCCTGGAAAGCTCTCTGTATATCAGCTGATCTGTAATTCTTCTGCAGAAGGCATCTCGAGAGTGAAGGGGACTTCCACCTTCAGATGACTTCATTTTCATGGTTTGTACACATTGTATTACATACACTGATTCAATTCATAGCTAAATAAAAAAAAGAGATTCTGCTCGGTTGGAGGGGATTACCCCCTTTGCTCCGGCAGGTGACTGAGCTGTGTGTCCAGAAGAGACACGTCTGCTTGAAAACAAACGTCTTTAGGTTTCATCAGTAAAATGGACACAAAAGATCCCAAGCAGAAGGATGCACAGCAACCAGTACAAGCATGTAAAATACTGAATAAAATATACACTTCAACTTTATTGAATGTGGTTTGATCTGATATCTAAAAGTAAAATGTAGACCGGGAGCAGCCTGTGGGCACGACCCTGGAAATGACAGCATCCCCCTCCGGTCCGCAGCTGCCCACCCTCCATACCATCCCCTGTGAGGTCTCACCCTGATACTCAGCGCCCCACATCCCGGGAGCGACCCTCCCTCCTCTGCCAGTGTACTGCATGCATCATGCCACTGTTGCAGGCGTCACCTGACCCCCCCCCAGAACCACAATACCGCCACATCTGCTCTCTCATCATCCACATTCCTCTGGTCACCAGGGACAGCCCAGGCATACTATCCCTAACCGTCTCAGACTCAACGCAGATACCACAATACTGAAACCGCATGGGGAGAGGGGGCCCCTGAGGGTGTATCCTCCCCAACTCCTAAGTCATGCCAGACAGCAGCTCATGCAATTCTGCCCTTGCGACACTCGCCAAGCCCACACAACCGTAGAGCGCGTACAGCACGGGCAAGCCCTAGTTAGATGCAGAAGCCAAAACCCGCCACCGTCTGTCATTGCTGATCTAAATGAGAGAAAAAAAATAAAAAGTGACAGATGGTTATCGTTTTCGGTTTACAATACTATAAAATTAGCTTTTTTTTCTCCATTAAAAAGTAATAATGTGGCTTGTTTTAAACAGTTAAAAAAAAAAAAATCCGCTCATGCACACTACATCCGAAGAGAAGAAAGAAAAACCCTTATGAAAGACGTCCCCGACAGCGAGGAGGCAGACGTGGACTCAAGAAAATTCATGTGTGGAACACGGCGTGTATGTGTGTGTAGGAAGGGGGGGAGGGGGGGGGACTAGTGGCCCACATCCCTCCCTGGAGACACGACTAACAGTAATTATTGCTGGCGGTAACTTCAACAGAAGTGGCAGTTACAGGCACAAAGCGCCCCCATCTTTTCCTGCACTTGGCACGGATTCCTCACCACCCTCCCTGCCCATCGTACACGCGCACAAAACGTGGCTTTCCCTTGTTCCAAGAAGGCCCGGGGCAGCCTGTGGCGGTGTGCCAATCACAGTGGTCGGAGCTACAGGGGTGGCGGGAGGGGGGGGGGGGGGGGTCACAGTGCACGGGGTTTAAGGTCACAGTGGGCGGAGCAAAAGGGCATCAAAGTGCAAGTAGATGAGGCGATTCCCTCCGCTTGAGTCCATTGGTGTGACAGGCCAGTGCAGCTTACTATGGCAAAGTCCTCCATGACGTCTATCTGCGCTGTTTGAAACCCTGTGATCCATCCGGACCCAGCGGCTGCCGGATCACATTGTTAGGCTGTCTGTTCTCCTCCAGCTGATTGATTCTTGCCGGCCTGAAAAAAAGTGACAAAGAAGAATTTTAGGTTCAATCTTTTGAAATCATGTGAACACGTTAAAGCAGAATTCCAGTCACAACCCAAAGGATAAATCTGCTCCCACCGCCATTGGAGTCTGGCTTCAGGGAAGTTGCCACCTCACTTGAGTTCTCCCCATCCTGAAGAGGCAGGTCAGGTAAGGACAAAAAAAAAAAAAATGGCTGCCGCAACTTCCTCCCCCCAGGAAGTAGTAGGCAGCCCCCAGCGATGACCAAAGGAAGGAACGTCTGTCCCATTCCGCCTGCAAATAGGAGGGACTCCGGCAGGCGTGCGCCACCTCCACCCGTACTGCCGGTGTTTACCAAGGGGCCCCTGTCAAAGCACATCACCTGCCCACTGTAGCTCCCCAGACAGATCCCCTCACAAGCTCTCACCATACAGGCAGCCTCAGAGGGAAGGTCAGGGGTAAGGAGAACCAAAAGGTCGCACATTAGGGAGGAGGATGCAACCTGAAAACATGCTCTTCCCCAATTTTGGCGCAGGAACATGTAACCTGCTGAAGCCAGAGAGCCAGGAGAGGGGGACACCTAGGCATGAAATGATAACAACAACAAACCCAGTGTACCACATGCCGAACCATCATTTTTAGGGGTCTCCCGAGTTGAAGCCAGGGGTGGACTGACCATTTGGAAACTCGGGCTCTGCCTGAGGGCCCGGGGTCAGTAGGGGGCCCCATGAGATGCCCCTGGTAACTTTTTCATAGGCTTTTTTGAGTTTTGGGCGAGGACACAGGGGCCCCATGATCCCCTATTGCCTGGGGGCCCCAATGAGTTGTCAGTCCACCCCTGGTTGGAGCACATATACAATGGATAAAATGAAGGCAGGTATGCCTGGAGGAAGCTCACCCCTCCTTAACCACTGGCTGCATGGAAAGCTCAGCTTACATCTCCAGCACAGTCTGTGTATGGCAGTGTTTCTCAACTCCAGTCCTCATGGACCCCCAACAGGTCATGTTTTCAGGATTTCCCTCAGATGAAACAGCTGTGGTAATTACTAAGGCAGTGAAACTGATCAAATCACCTGTGCAAAATAATGGGAAATCCTGAAAACATGACCTGTTGGGGGTCCATGAGGACTGGAGTTGAGAAACAGTCTGTGTATGGGAATGACTAACTCCTCTGCACCTGCAGGAGTCATCCCGCACCGGCCAATGAAAAGGCCCAAAGACCGGCATCCAGAAGATGCCAGTGCGGGATGGGACGGTTGATGGAAAGGTAAGTCAAGCCATACAGAACCCTCTATTACTGTAACGTATCAGCAGCGTCGTCCAATAGAGCGGTGTTCAGAGGGGTGTGACCAACCAATGAGGAGCATGTGTAAAAGCAGCGTCTTCACTACAATACAGGCAAGCCCGGCTGCATGACAGTAACAAGGAGGATTCAGCTGGGCTTTATATAAACATGCCTGCACCCGCTACATCGGGGTCAGTTCTAGAAGACACGGTACACAGAGAGGCAGCTTGGAGAATTGGTAAAAATTTGGCCAAAATGGGTCACCTGTCCACCACTGGCTTCTCAGCTTCCTCCTCTGGGCTGGCGCTCCCCAGGATTCGCTTTCTGGCCTCGGCGTACTCGGCTTCCCTCTGCGCCAGAGACTTCACAGGCACTGTGGGCCGGCTGCTGCAATGGGAGTTGCTTGCCAAGCCGTTGCTCGTAGGCCTTTTCAGGATCCTTATCTGAGGAGGAGGACCGGCTGGCAGAGAGTCGTCCTGGATAACCACGGGGATTTTCGGAGGAGACTTTGATTTACTAGAAAGAGAAGAAGATGAACTTTAGCCGCCGACTGTCCTGAACGCGTCTGATCCATAACGGGGTCGTTATCTCAGGACACAAACCAATCTCTAGAGATGCACCCATAGAGTATTTTCAGGAGTACTCTAGAGAATGCTCCCGATACCGGAAACCGATACTTTGCCTTGCGATCTGCGTCAACACAAAATGCAGATTGCACTGCAAAGAATAGAATGTTTTGAACAGGAAGGCAATTCCTGTCCCAATCGCATGTGGGTTTCCCCCCCTGCTCCTGTGTGAACCCAGGCTTGTCATAGCGTGGGATCGGAGTAGGGAGGTTCCCCCCCCTGCTCCTCTGTGAACCCAGGCTTGTCACAGCGTGGCATCGGGTAGGGAGGTTCCCCCTGCTCCTGTGTGAACCCAGGCTTGTCATAGCGTGGGATCGGGGCAGGGAGGTTCCCCCCCTGCTCCTCTGTGAACCCAGGCTTGTCATAGCGTGGGATCGGGGTAGGGAGGTTCCCCCCCTGCTCCTGTGTGATCCCAGGCTTGTCATAGCGTGGGATCTAGGGAGGTTTCCCCCCTGTCCTGTGTGAACCCAGGCTTGTCATAGCGTGGGAGGGGTAGGGAGGTTCGTGGTGTGAACCCAGGCGGCGTGGGATCGGGGAGGGAGGTTCCCCCCCTCTGTGAACCCAGGCTCACAGCGTGTGATTGGGGTAGGGAGGTTTCCCCCCACTGATCCTGTGTGAACCCAGGCTTGTCATGGGAGCGTGGATCCCAGGGTCATAGCGTGGGAGGGAGGGAGGTTCCCCCCCTGCTCCTGTGTGAACCCAGGCTTGTCATAGCGTGGGATCGGGGCAGGGAGGTTCCCCCTGCTCCTCTGTGAACCCAGGCTTGTCTAGCGTGGGATCGGGGCAGGGAGGTTCCCCCTGCTCCTGTGAACCCAGGCTTGTCATAGCGTGGGATCGGGGTAGGGAGGTTCCCCCCCTGCTCCTGTGTGAACCCAGGCTTGTCATAGCGTGGGATCGGGGTAGGGAGGTTCCCCCACTGCTCCTCTGTGGGATGAACCCCCCCTGCTGTGTCATAGCGTGGAATTCCCCCTGCTCCTCTGTGAGGCATAGGGGGAGGTTTCCCCAGGCACATTCGTGGGATCTGTGTGAAACCCAGGCTTGGCGTGGGATCGGGGGTAGCGCTGTGAACCCAGGCTTGTCATAGCGTGGGATCGGGGTAGGGAGGTTTCCCCCTGCCTGCTCTGTGAACCCAGGCTTGTCATAGCGTGGAATTGAGGCAAGGAGGTTTCCTGCACCACTCCTGTGTGAACTGAGGCTGAGCGGAGTTTGGGAGAGAATAGTATGTGGGGATGTATGCATTCGTGGCAGATGGAGACAGATGCTCCGGATTCTCAGCTGTAGTAGGAGAGAAAGGCGCGGGGATTTGATATCCCTACGGCTTTCTCTCCTTTCCTTGGAGGGATGACAGCTTGGGCTAGAGGGCTTTTGATTGGTCAGCACCTTCACATGGACAATGCTGACCGATCAGAAGCCACCCTAGTCTGTACTGTCATCCCTGGAAGGGAGAGGGGAAAGCCATAGAGGACGTTGAAGCAGCTGTCTCCTTGTAGGGATGACAGTATGGGCTAAATGGCTTCTGATTGGTCAGCACCGTCCGTGCGAAGGAAAGGAGAGAAATTCACGGGGGATTTTAAATCCCTGTGGCCCTCTTGTCTCTCCTACAGCTGAGGATCCAGAGCAACTGTCACCATAGCATTCATCCCCACACGCCCCTTCAACTGTCACCATAGCATACACCCCCACACGCCCCTTCAACTGTCACCATAGCATACACCCCCACACGCCCCTTCAACTGTCACCATAGCATACACCCCCACACACCCCCACACGCCCCTTCAACTGTCACCATAGCATACACCCCCCACACGCCCCTTCAACTGTCACCATAGTATACACCCCCCCCACGCCCCTTCTCTCCCCTCAGCATGGGATCTGTGCAGGGAGGCTTCCCGCGTTGCTCCTGTGTGAATTCAAGCTATGACAAGCCGGGTTCACATAGGAGAAGTGAAGAAACCACATGTGATGTGGAAAGGAATTGCATGCTATTCTTTGTGGTGCCATTTGTGTTCATACATTTTGTATTGACACACAAAGTATCGGTGCGGGCGAGTACTTGACCAAAAAGTAACAGTACTCACTCTCAGATCAAAAAAAGGGGATCGGTGCATCCCTACAATCAGTAATCACATACTTGGTATCTGATTGGAAGAATTCTGGGAGCAGAGACCACCCCGGGGGTCACTAATACTCACTTCTCTCTCTGTGTAATCTTCAACTTCTTCTCCAACCGTCGCTCTATCTCCTAGAGGAGTAAAAACACAAAAGACGCCATGAAAGGGGAGACTAATACAACATAAAAATACTCTACAGAGCCCACCGAGGCGGAGAGATACTACACAGAGCCCGCCCCAGCCCCACCCCGCACAGAGCCCACCCCAGTCCCACCCTGCACAGAGCCCGCCCCAGCCCCTCCCTGCACAGAGCCCGCCCCAGCCCCTCCCTGCACAGAGCCCGCCCCAGCCCCTCCCTGCACAGAGCCCGCCCCAGTCCCGCCCTGCACAGAGCCCGCCCCAGCCCCACCCCTGCCCCGCACAGAGCCCACCCCAGTCCCCACCCCTGCCCCGCAGAGCCCACCCCCAGTCCCTCCCCGCACAGAGCCCGCCCCAGCCCCTCCCCGCACAGAGCCCGCCCCAGCCCCTCCCCGCACAGCCCGCCCCAGTCCCGCCCTGCACAGAGCCCGCCCCCCCCTCCCTGCACAGAGCCCGCCCCAGCCCCTCCCTGCACAGAGCTCGCCCTGCACAGAGCCCGCCCCAGTCCCGCCTGCACAGAGCTCGCCCCAGTCGGAGATTATGGTTTCACTTTCACATCTCCCCACCACCCTGTGATTGGGGAACAGAAGCTGCAGAATGATGAGCCCACCGGTCACTCTGCTCTCTCCTCTATTAGCATGCTCCATGCGCTGCAACCCTCCCAATCGGCTCCTTGTGCTGGTTCTCCCTGCCCCATCTGAGCTCTGCTGTACAACCATTGTAAGGGGCTGATAGCAGGTCAATTGTAGGTACTTCGATTTGACATTAAAAAGATACACAGATACAATAGATTGATTACAGAGCTGCACTGATTTGTGTCTTCGCCTGCAGTTCAGCAGAGTGATTGTAAAGGTTACATTTTTATTCCTAAAACAATAAACACGGTGTACTTACCCGCTCTGTGTGATGGTATTGCACAGAGCCGGCCCAATCCTTTTCTTTGGGGGGGGGGGGGGGGGGGTGCCCACCTCCAGTTCTCTTCCTTTCTCCGAGCGCCGCCATAGCAAGTGGTGGCACTCATGAAAGTGCCCTCCTGACCTGGGATGTGTGCGTCTATAGACACAGGAAGCACATCTAGGCAGCCAGAAGCAGACTGACTGTCCTTTTACATCCGCTGTCTGTTATGTTTTTTTTGTTTTTTTTTAAATGGAAAAAAAAAAAAAAAAAAAAAAAATAGGGGATTGAATAAAAAAAAAAAAAAAAAAAAAAAAAAAAATGGGTGTGGATGTAAACCGATCTCTACATCTGGTTTACCGTACAGATGCATCGATGTCTGTTTTTTTGTCCATCAATGGATGAAAGAAAAAAAAAAAAAAAACAAATGGAACGCCTTAGAAGTTCTGTTTTTTCAAAACAAAAACAACACACATCAGTTTTACATCTGTTTTCCACATCCACTACCAATGCAAAAGAAAAAAAAAACCAAACAAAAAAAAAAAGCGTCCAGTTTACCCTTTTACATCCATTCGGGTTTTTTAATGGACCAAAAAATGCAGACTTCTATTTTAAAAAAAAATATATATTATACTATTAGACCTGACCAGAAATGGGACAAAAAAAATGCTGCAAGTGGACGCCGTCCGTTTTTTCATCCGTCTGCCATAGGAACGCATTGCCGTCCGTTTTTTCATCCTTCTGCCCATAGGAACGCATTGCTGTCCGTTTTTCATCCGTCTGCCATAGGAACGCATTGCTTTTTTCATCCCTCTGCCCAGGAACGCATTGCCGTCCGTTTATCATCCCTCTGCCCATAGGAACGCATTGCCGTCCGGTCATCCCTCTGCCCATTTTTCATTTATCATCCCTCTGCCCATAGGAACGCATTGCCGCATTGCCGTCCGTTTTATCATCCCTCTGCCCATAGGAACGCATTGCCGTCCGTTTTTCATCCTCTGCCCATAGGAACGCATTGCCGTCCGTTTTTCATCCCTCTGCCCATAGGAACGCATTGCCGTCCGTTTTTTCATCCCTCTGCCCATAGGAACGCATTGCCGTTTTCATCCCCTTTTAGGAACGCACTTCCGTTTATCATCCCTCTGCCCATAGGAACGCACTCTCCGTTTTTCATCCCTCTGCCCATAGGAACGCACTGCCGTCCGTTTTTCAATCATCCTGCCCCTCTGCCCATAGGAACGCACTCCCGTCCGTTTATCATCCCTCTGCCATAGGAACGCATTGCCGTCCGTTTTTCATCCCTCTGCCCATAGGAAACGCACTGCCGTCCATAGGAACGCATTGCCGTCCGTTTTTTCATCCCTCTGCCCATAGGAACGCACTGCCGTCCGTTTTTGCATCCCTCTGCCCATAGGAACGCATTGCCGTCCGTTTTTTCATCCCTCTGCCCATAGGAACGCATTGCCGATTCCCCTCTGCCTAGGAACGCCCGTCCGTTTTTTTCATCCCTCTGCCCATAGGAACGCACTGCCGTCCGTTTATTTCATGCCCATTAGGATAAGCATCCCTCTGCCCCATAGGAACGCATTGCCGTCCGTTTTTCATCCCTCTGCCCATAGGAACGCATTGCCGTCCGTTTTTTTCATCCCTCTGCCCATAGGAACGCATTGCCGTCCGTTTATCATCCCTCTGCCCATAGGAGGAACGCCGTTTTTTCATCCCTGGAAACCGCCGTCCGTTTTTCATCCCTCTGCCCATAGGAACGCATTGCCGTCCGTTTTTCATCCCTCTGCCCATAGGAACGCATTGCATTGCCGTCCGTTTTTTCATCCCTCTGCCCATAGGAACGCATTGCCGTCCGTTTTTCATCCCTCTGCCCATAGGAACGCATTGCCGTCCGTTTTTCCCCTCTGCCATAGGAACGCATTGCCGTCCGTTTTTTCATCCCTCTGCCCATAGGAACGCATTGCCGTCCGTTTTCATTCTGCCCATCATCCCGTTTTTCATCTGCCCCATAGGAACGCATTGCCGTCCGTTTTTCATCCCTCATAGGAACGCATTGCCGTCCGTTTTTCCATCCGGGTGCCATGCGATAGATGAGACCCAGACAGACGGAACGCCTGTGTGAAAGGATCTGATGCTTTAGGGCCGAGTCACGCCAGTGCGTTGGTCTGGGTTTTAGCGCGCCTGAAAAAACAATTTCCAACGCGTCCTGTTCACACCGCAAAGCTGCAACACATATGCATTCTAGTGCAACGGACACAAAGCGTATGGCAACGCAACGGATATCCTGTGAGTACGCGTTAACGCGCGCTAAAATGGATGTCAATGGATGTCAGCGCGTGACAGAGGGAAAATGTACATCGGCCCTCAATCTGCGGTCATCGTCCAGCGCAGGAAGTGGATCCTCGGGGCGCGCGCACACACGGGGCGTATCAGACACGTCACTGAACATCCCGGGATGACCACACAGATCCTCCTCAGCGGGGGAAGCGGGTGACACCACCTCAGTCTGGAGACGCTCGCGGTCGCTGGGCTGCCAAAAATAAAGCGCGCTATACATGGAGGTATTAATATAACTGCCGGGGAGCCTTAAAGGGAAATCCCGCACTATTTATAGCCAGGATGGACGCACGGGATCAGATTATAGGCTGCAGCTGCTGATTGACAAAAGTTTTCCAACAGATCCATTTGACAGAAATCTACTCAACTCTACTTCTGATGAACGGGATTGGCCACACGGCTCGAAAACCCGTCCAGATCCGTCTGTATCTGGCTTAACTGTCACTTGTGCGGACTCAGCCAGGACTGATCTGTCCCGGAAATGTCCTGATCAGGACTCTCCTGGTGGAGGGATTACATGGAGGTCGACGGGTTCATCACATTTCACAAATACCACTTGAAGCACAACCAACCCCCTGCCCACCCCCCATTGCTTTCAGACAAGGAAACCGCCATCTTGCCCTCCATATGATTGGCAGTTGCCATGGTGCGGCACGTGTGACCAGCGATGACTCCGGCCATTTGACAGTCCGGTTGGGAAACACAAGCAAATGGGACACTTATCCCAGGATGCCGGGAGCGCAACTTTGGTGAAAACCGTTAAATCCATGCGTTTAGTTCCACTAAATTGTATTCGGGCGATTCACAGCGACTGACGCTAAAATGTGCGGATAACGGAAGAGCCACGCAATGGCCACGAGGGATAACGGAAGAGCCACGCAATGGCCGCGAGGATAACGGACCCGCCACGCAATGGCCGCCCTGCGGATAACGGACCCGCCACGCAATGGCCGCCCTGCGGATAACGGACCCGCCACGCAATGGCCGCCCTGCGGATAACGGACCCGCCACGCAATGGCCGCCCTGCGGATAACGGACCCGCCACGCAATGGCCAGCCTCTGCGGATAACGGACCCGCCACGCAATGGCCCAGCCACGGATAACGGACCCGCCACGCAATGGCCCCGAGGGATAACGGACCCGCCACGCAATGGCCCCGAGGGATAACGGACCCGCCACGCAATGGCCCCGAGGGATAACGGACCCGCCACGCAATGGCCCCGAGGGATAACGGACCCGCCACGCAATGGCCCCGAGGGATAACGGACCCGCCACGCAATGGCCCCGAGGGATAACGGACCCGCCACGCAATGGCCCCGAGGGATAACGGACCCGCCACGCAATGGCCCCGAGGGATAACGGACCCGCCACGCAATGGCCCCGAGGGATAACGGACCCGCCACGCAATGGCCCAGCCACGCAATGGACCCGCCACGCAATGGCCGCCGTGCGGATAACGGACCTCGCCACGCAATGGCCCAGCCCTGCGGATAACGGACTCGCCACGCAATGGCCGCCCCTGCGCGATAACAGATTCGCCAAGCAATGGCCGCCCTGCGGATAACGGACTCGCCACGCAATGGCCGCCCTGCGGATAATGGCTGTACATTTCCATCTATTGACATGCACTGAGGACATCCTGTGACATCACAACCGGTGAGCGGAGGAGGAGTGTGATGAGGAAGACGTGGAGATTTGTGTGGATTCTGGTGGCCGGATGTCTTCCATGACAGAGATAATCGTTGTGATAACATCGGCCATACTGAGGAGATTGCGGCAGACAAGACGCTATTGGGACCGCCCACTGATGTCACAACATGAAGCTATTGGGGGACCGCCCACTGATGTCACAACATGAAGCTATTGGGACGCACCCCTCCGCCCACAGATGTCACAACATGAAGCTATTGGGACCGCCCACTGATGTCACAACATGAAGCTATTGAACTGCTATTGGGACCGCCCACTGATGTCACAACATGAAGCTATTGGGACACTAATTTGGCACATACATGACCGCCCACTGATGTCACACATGAAGCTATTGATGTCACAACATGAAGCTATTGGACCGCCCACTGATGTCACAACATGAAGCTATTGGGACCGCCCACTGATGTCACAACATGAAGCTATTGGGACCCCACTGATGTCACAACATGAAGCTATTGGGACCGCCCACTGATGTCACAACATGAAGCTATTGGGACCGCCACTGATGTCACAACATGAAGCTATTGGGACCACACTGATGTCACAACATGACAGTAAAGGGCAGTTCTGGACGTTCCATGTCCCCCGGAACAATTCTGTGATTCTACACGAGGTCCATCGCCGGGCGAACGTTCACATCCGGGCCAAGCAAACTTTATATTTTGGGTCATTAGAGTCGGCATAAAGAACACGGCTGGGTCCAGGTCATGTCTGGTCAAGGTTAAGGTCATGGCCAGGTCAGAGGTCATAGGTGGTCCCACATTGCGCCATTGCACCCACATACATGTACATTACATGTGCTTACATTGTAGCACAACGCAGGGTTGTAGCGTGAATAGGACACGCAGGAAAGTGTTTTTCAGACGTCCTTCCATGATCCGAGTCTCACAGCTGCACTGAAATGCAGATCAACGCACCGGTGTGACTTGGCCCCATAAGGAATCCCACAAAGGGCCCCGATCATATACAGGGCATGGAATGCTGGAGAGGACCATCGCAGATCTCAGCCGGGGTCCTGTGGGAGGCCGAGGTTCCTCCACAGATTTCTGGGGGCTCCTGGAGTATCAGATGGGCCTCCATAGTCCATGTGACCAATCATCCTTCTAGCGGTCTGTACACACTTTAGAATTCCTTTCAGTCTCCCCAGCCTCCTCCTCCAGGCCTCAGCCTGCCCAGCCTCCCCCTCCTCCTCCTCCTCCAGGCCTCCAGGCCTCAGCCTGCCCAGCTCCTCCTCCTCCAGGCCTCAGCCTGCCCAGCCGCCTCCTCCTCCTCCAGGCCTCAGCCTGCCCAGCCGCTTCCTCCTCCTCCTCCTCCAGGCCTCAGCCTGCCCAGCCGCGCCGCCGCCTCCTCCTCCAGGCCTCACCCTCCCCAGCCGCCGCCTCCTCCTCTCCAGGCCTCACCCTCCCCAGCCGCCCGCCTCCTCCTCCAGGCCTCACCCTCCCCAGCCGCCGCCTCCTCCTCCAGGCCTCACCCTCCCCAGCCGCCGCCTCCTCCTCCAGGCCTCACCCTCCCCAGCCGCCGCCCTCCTCCAGGCCTCACCCTCCTCCAGGCCTCACCCTCCCCAGCCGCCTCCCTCCTCCTCCAGGCCTCACCTCCCCAGCCGCCTCCTCCTCCTCCAGGCCTCACCCTCCCAGCCGCCTCCTCCTCCTCCAGGCCTCACCCAGCCCAGCCGCCTCCTCCTCCTCCTTCGGCCTCACCCTGCCCAGCCGCCTCCTCCTCCTCCAGGCCTCACCCTCTCCCAGCCGCCTCCTCCCTCCTCCTCCAGGCCTCACCCTCCCCCGCCGCCGCCGCCACCTCCAGCTTCAGCCTCCCCAGCCGCCGCCTCCTCCTCCCCTCCCCTAGCTTCAGCCTCCGCCTCCTCCAGCTTCGGCCTCCCCAGCCTCCTCCTCCACGCTTCCCAGCCCAGCCGCCGCCTCCTCCTCCACGCTTCGGCCTCCCCAGCCGCCGCCGCCCAGGCCTCCTCCAGCTTCGGCCTCCCCAGCCGCCCTCCTCCGCCGCCATCCTCCTCCACGCTTCGGCCTCCCCAGCCGCCCCCCCCTCCTCCTCCACGCTTCCCTCCCCAGCCTCCGCCGCCTCCAGGCCTCCCCAGCAGCCGCCGCCTCTCCCATCCCCCCTCAGCTCCGCCGCCTCCAGGCCTCCCCAGCCAGCCCGCCCCATCCTCCAGGCCCTCCCCAGCAGCCGCCGCCGCTGCCTCCTCCTCCAGGCCTCAGCCTCCTCCTCCAGGCCTCCCCAGCAGCCGCCGCCTCCTCCTCCAGGCCTCCCCAGCAGCCGCCTGCCGCCTCCTCCTCCAGGCCTCAGCCACCCCAGCCGCCTCCTCCTCCAGGCCCCTTAGCCTCTCCAGCCTCCTCCTCCAGGCCCCAGCCTCCTCCTCCAGGCCCTTAGCCTCTCCAGCCTCCTCCTCCAGGCCCCAGCCTCCTCCTCCAGGCCCTCAGCCTCCTCCTCCAGGCCTCCCCAGCCTCCTCCTCCAGGCCCCCAGCAGCCGCCCAGCCCTCCTCCTCCAGGCCTCCCCAGCAGCCGCCGCCGCCTCCTCCTTCCCAGGCCTTAGCCTCTCCAGCCTCCTCCTCCAGGCCCCAGCCTCCTCCTCCTCCAGGCCCTCAGCCTCCTCCTCCTCCAGGCCCCTCAGCCTCCCTCCTCCAGGCCCTCAGCCTCCTCCTCCTCCAGGCCCTTAGCCTCTCCAGCCTCCTCCTCCAGGCCCCAGCCTCCTCCACCAGGCCTCAGCCTCCTCCTCCAGGCCCTTAGCCTCTCCAGCCTCCTCCTCCAGGCCTCAGCCTCCTCCTCCAGGCCCTTAGTCTCTCCAGCCTCCTCCTCCAGGCCCCAGCCTCTCCTCCTCCAGGCCTCAGCCTCCTCCTCCAGGCCCTTAGTCCTCTCCAGCCTCCTCCTCCTCCAGGCCTCAATCTTCTCAGCACAGTCACTGTCCGGCCTCAGTCCTGCCGCCACTACATAGACAGGCTTCCCATCACACAGCCGGCCCCGGCCTCACTGCAGACACTCTCCGGCCTCCACTCACCCCGCTGTCGGCCGCATCCTCCCAACTCTCCGCGACCTCATCCTCTTCCATCTTCCGCTCCCCGGAAACCAGGCCGCGCGCCGGCCTTTACTGCGCAGGTGTCGCTCCTGCACCAGCACGTACACGTAGCCGCGCGTTGCCGACACACAGAACGTGGTCAGAAAAAGGACCTATTACACCCAGCGTCGGCCGGAAACTGTCTGTCCGCCATGTTGGTACTCCCGTTTCTTCTCCGTGGAGAGGAATGGCAGCACAACCTCCGCGTAGAATATCGGCGCTGCTCAGCACACACGACACGACATGTCACCGAGGAATCGTACAGCTATAACAATTTATTGTCAATGAAGTAAGGGAGGGTGTGTCCCCATGGGGGAGATTCCCAATCACTTCCGGTCCCATGGCAAACAACAGGAAGTGAGAGAAAATCTCTCTAAAGTGAGGAAATATCTGGTAGACACCAGGAAATAGTGTCCCCATTGGAAGATCCCCCTCTCTTCCTGTCCTGGTGACAACTAACACTTTGGGATTGCCATCATTTTGTGCCTCTGTGACACCAGGACAAATAGTGGGGGTGGGGTTCCCATACATCCAGGTCCCCACCAGAGCTCCCCCCTTACATCAGAGCCCCCCTTACATCAGTGTACCCATCAGAGCCCCCCCCCTTACATCAGTGTCCCCATCAGAGCCCCCCTTACATCAGAGCCCCCCTTACATCAGTGTACCCATCAGAGCCCCCCCCCCCTTACATCAGTGTCCCCATCAGAGCCCCCCTTACATCAGTGTCCCCATCAGAGCCCCCCCTTACATCAGTGTCCCCATCAGAGCCCCCCCTTACATCAGTGTCCCCATCAGAGCCCCCCCCTTACATCAGTGTCCCCATCAGAGCCCCCCTTACATCAGTGTCCCATCAGAGCCCCCCCCCTTACATCAGTGTCCCCATCAGAGCCCCCCCCCTTACATCAGTGTCCCCATCAGAGCCCCCCCTTACATCAGTGTCCCCATCAGAGCCCCCCCTTACATCAGTGTCCCCCCTTACATCAGTGTCCCCCCTTACATCAGAGCCCCCCTTACATCAGTGTCCCCATCAGAGCCCCCCTTACATCAGTGTCCCCATCAGAGCCCCCTTACATCAGTGTCCCCACATCAGAGTCCCCCTTACATCAGAGCCCCCCTTACATCAGTGTCCCCATCAGAGCCCCCCTTACATCAGTGTCCCCATCAAAGCCCCCCCTTCTTACATCAGTGTCCCCATCAAAGCCCCCCTTACATCAGTGTCCCCATCAGAGCCCCCCCTTACATCAGTGTCCCCATCAGAGCCCCCCCTTACATCAGTGTCCCCATCAGAGCCCCCCCCCTTACATCAGTGTCCCCATCAGAGCCCCCCCCCCTTACATCAGTGTCCCCATCAGAGTCCCCATCAGAGCCCCCTTACATCAGAGTCCCCATCAGAAGAGACAATCGATCTGAATCCTCGGTCTGTGCACTGAGTCTGGGGACACACCACTGACTGTAGCTGTGGGCTGGATAAAATCTGTTAGAGGGCCCCTGGGCCGTAGTTTGGAGACCCATGTGACATGGTGGGGGCACTCTCCAGGCTGGAGCTTGGTATACACTGTGCCGTACATGTGCCACATGACATACTCCAGGCCTAACGCTCCGTATACTGCGCCGTACACAACATACTCCAGGCCTAGCGCTCCATACACTGCCCCGTACACAACAACTACTCCAGGCCCTAGCGCTCCGTATACTGCGCCATACATGACATACTCCAGGCCTAACGCTCCGTATACTGTGCCGTACGCAACATACTCCAGTCCTAACGCTCCGTATATTGCACCGTACATGACATACTCCAGGCCTAACGCTCCATACACTGTGCCGTACACAACACATTTCCAGGCCTAACGCTCCGTATACTGTGCCGTACGCGACATACTCCAGTCCTAACGCTCCATACACTGTGCCGTACACACAACACATTCCAGGCCTAACGCTCCGTATACTGTGCCGTAAAACGCGACATACTCCAGTCCTAAACGCTCCATACACTGTGCCGTACACGACATACTCCAGGCCTAACGCTCCGTATACTGCGCCGTACATGACAATACTCCAGTCCTAACGCTCCGTATACTGCGCCCTACACGACAAAACTCCAGGCCTAACGCTCCATACACTTGCCGTACAGGACATACTCCAGTCCTAACGATCCGTATACTGTGCCATACATGACATACTCCAGGCCTAACACTCCGTATACTGTGCCGTACACGACATACTCCAGTCCTAACGCTCCGTATACTGTGCCATACATGACATACTCCAGGCCTAACGCTCCGTATACTGTGCCATACATGACATACTCCAGGCCTAACGCTCCCGTATACTGCGCCATACATGACATACTCCAGTCCTAACGCTCCATACACTGCCGTACACGACATACTCCAGGCCTAACGCTCCGTATACTGCGCGCGTACATGACATACATACTCCAGGCCTAACACTCCGTATACTGTGCCGTACACGACATACTCCAGGCCTAACGCTCCATACACTGCCATACACGACATACTCCAGTCCTAACGCTCCGTATACTGTGCCATACATGACATACTCCAGGACCTAACGCTCCGTACTCCAGGCCTATACTGTGCCATACATGACATACTCCAGGCCTAACTACTCCGTATACTGCGCCATACATGACATACTCCAGTCCTAACGCTCCGTATACTGCGCCATTCATGACATACTCCAGTCCTAACGCTCCGTATACTGTGCCGTACACGACATACTCTCCAGTCCTAACGCTCCGTATACTGTGCCCATACATGACATACTCCAGGCCTAACACTCCGTATACTGCGCCATACACGACATACTCCAGTCCTAACGCTCCGTATACTGTGCCGTACACGACATACTCCAGTCCTAACGCTCCGTATACTGTGCCATACATGACATACTCCAGGCCTAACGCTCCGTATACTGTGCCATACATGACATACTCCAGGCCTAACGCTCCGTATACTGCGCCATACATGACATACTCCAGTCCTAACGCTCCATACACTGCCGTACACGACATACTCCAGGCCTAACGCTCCGTATACTGTGCCATACATGACATACTCCAGGCCTAACGCTCCGTATACTGTGCCGTACACGACATACTCCAGGCCTAACGCTCCGTATACTGTGCCGTACACGACATACTCCAGTCCTAACGCTGCATACACTGCCGTACACGACATACTCCAGGCCTAACGCTCCGTATACTGTGCCGTACATGACATACTCCAGGCCTAACACTCCATATACTGTGCCGTACACGACATACTCCAGGCCTAACGCTCCATACACTGCCATACACGACATACTCCAGTCCTAACGCTCCGTATACTGTGCCATACATGACATACTCCAGGCCTAACGCTCCGTATACTGTGCCATACATGACATACTCCAGGCCTAACGCTCCGTATACTGCGCCATACATGACATACTCCAGTCCTAACGCTCCATACACTGCCGTACACGACATACTCCAGTCCTAACGCTCCGTATACTGTGCCGTACATGACATACTCCAGGCCTAACGCTCCGTATACTGTGCCGTACGCGACATACTCCAGTCCTAACGCTCCGTATACTGTGCCGTACGCGACATACTCCAGTCCTAGCGCTCCGTACACTGTGCCGTACGCGACATACTCCAGTCCTAGCGCTCCGTACACTGTGCCGTACGCGACATACTCCAGTCCTAACGCTCCCTATACTGCGCCGTACGCGACATACTCCAGGCCTAGCTCTCCGTATACTGTGCCTTACACGACATACTCCAGGCTTAGCTCTCCGTATACTGTGCTGTACATGACATACTCTGCATACTCCTCCCCCACACTTGCCTGCTGTGCTGGACTGTACACTACAATACATGTACATAGCTGGCACTACAATGATTGTTTATCCTGAGTGTCAGGACTGGAATGTTTTGCACACAGTCTGCTCTTCCCCTTTAATTGGACCTCCTCCCCACATGACACGGTTCTGCCAATCACAACATGGCGCTTGTTGGGCCCAGGCCCCGCCCACGGCCACAAAGTGGGTTAGGAGACCGCACCGCCCACAGCCAACCACAAGATGGCGAGATGGAGCCGAGACTTCAGGCGCGTTACCGAGGCACGTTGTGCGTGCGCGCCCCCTCCGCCGGCTCCGGCCCTTCCTCTTCTGTCGCCGCTCAGGAGACCGAGAAAGATGGCGGCTCGGTGAGGAAAAGGAGCCGGCCCGACCCAGGTGAGACCCACCGGCTGTGTCCTCATCCCTCACCGGTCCTGTATATACGGAGAGACCTCCCCCTTGTATACCTCCACTGACTGTATATACAGAGAGACCCCCCCTGTATACCTCCACTGACTGTATATACAGAGACCACCCCCCCTGTATACCTCCACTGACTGTATATACAGAGACCCCCCCCCTGTATACCTCCACTGACTGTATATACAGAGACCCCCCCCTGTATACCTCCACTGACTGTATATACAGAGACCCCCCTGTATACCTCCACTGACTGTATATACAGAGAGACCCCCCCTGTATACCTCCACTGACTGTATATACAGAGACCCTCCCCCTGTATACCTCCACTGACTGTATATACAGAGACCACCCCCCTGTATACCTCCACTGACTGTATATACAGAGACCCCCCCCTGTATACCTCCACTGACTGTATATACAGAGACCCCCCCCCTGTATACCTCCACTGACTGTATATACAGAGACCACCCCCCTGTATACCTCCACTGACTGTATATACAGAGACCCCCCCCTGTATACCTCCACTGGCTGTATATACAGAGACCCCCCCCTGTATACCTCCACTGACTGTATATACAGAGACCCCCCCTGTATACCTCCACTGACTGTATATACAGAGACCCCCCCTGTATACCTCCACTGACTGTATATACAGAGACCCCCCCTGTATACCTCCACTGACTGTATATACAGAGACCCCCCCTGTATACCTCCACTGACTGTATATACAGA